TATATATATTTATATTTATTTATTTTGTTGTTGTTGAGACTATTTATTTTGTTGTTGTTGAGACTATAGACTGCAAAACATAAACCATTTAAGCAATTTCTACATGTACAGTTCAGTGACATTGATTTCATTCTTTGAGTTGTGCAACAATTCTCAACCTCCTTTTCTGAGTTGTTCCTCCCCTATTAAAATAAACTTACTGCTCCCTAAGGTTCCTGTCTAATCTTTTATAATCTTATATAGTCAATTTGATTTCATATAGATAGTTCTCAAAAGAGCATAATGCTCAAGACAGATTTTTTTTACTAATTAAGCTAAAACTATTCTTTGGTTTTAAGAAAATTTTAGGGAGTAATTTTGCTTTAAGGTTTCAGTATTATCTCAGAGCAAGAGTTTCAGGAGTTCATCTATCTTCTGTGGCTCCAGAAAGTCTGGAGTCCATGAGAATTTGAAATTTTGTTCTGTAATTTTTCCCCCTTGGATCAGGATTCTCCTTTAGAATCTTTGATCAAAATTTTCAGTAATGATAGTGGACACCATCCAGTTCTGGTCTCATGGCAAAAGAGTCAGTTGTTCATGGAGGCAATTAGCCACACATTCAATATCCTCCTCCTATTCCTGACTCTCAATCTTCCTTTGTTACCTCAGGCAAATAAAGACCAATTTTTGTGTCTCTCATCGCCACTTGCAAGCTTTTAAGACCCCAAGCACTACCCATCAACCAGGAGGAAGAAAAGAGGCACTAAACATATTATTAGGCCAATTAACTGGGATATCTCCTGGGACCATGACCCTAAACCTCCAAACCAAGGAACCAAATCCCATGAGGTGTGAGATTGTACATAAGCAGCCTCAGAAACTACTTTTTTTGTTTTATTTTTGTCACGGTTGTAAATCTGTCTATCACACAACTTTTCCAATTCAACTAAAAGCTGAACAGGTGTACAGCTAATAGGCAGCACTTAAATAAAGGCATACTTCGAGGATATTGAAGGATCAGTTCCAGAGCACTGCAATAAAGTGAATATCACACTGAAAGAAGTAACACAAAATTTTTGGTTTCCTAGTGCATATAAAGTTATGTTTATACTATATGGTAGTCTATTAAGTGTGCAATAGCATTATGAAAAAGTTTGAAATATGGTAAGAGTTACCAAAATGTGAAAAAGACAAGAGAGCTCATGCTGTTGCAAAAATGGCATCAATAGACCTGCTCAACACAGGGTTGCCACAGATCTTCAATTTGTAAAAAAATGTAGTATCAACAAAATGCAATATCTGCAAAGCACAGTAAACAAAGGTATACCAGTACTCAACTGTGTAACCCAACTCTTAATTAGTACCATTTTTCCATCACTCTAAACAGAAAATCAATTCTACGTAAGAAATAACTCTCCTTTCCCTCCCTCCCCCACCCCTGTTGTTGTTGTTGTTATGTGCCTTCGAGTCGGCCCTGACTCATAGCGACCCCTCCTTGGGTTTCCGAGGCAGTATCACTACGGAAGTAGGATTGCCCAACCTTCCTTCCGAGGAGTGGTAACTGCTAATAAATTTTGATCTTTATACATTTGCCTTTTGTTTTTATTTAAGTGAGGCCATATAATATTTGTCCTTTTGTGATTGATTTACTTAACATAATGTCTTCAAGCTCCATCCATATTGTAGCATGTGTCAAGATTTCATTTTTCTTACTGGCTAAGTAGTATTCCATTGTATATACATACCACATTTAGTTTATCCCTTCATCTGTTGATAGACATTTAGGTTGTTTGTATCTTTTGCCTATTGTGAATAGTGCTGCAGTGAACATTGGTGTACAGGTCTATGTTTGAATCTCTACTTTCATGTCCTTTGGATAGGACCTAGTAGTGGGATTCCTGAGTCACACAGTAGTTCTATTTTTAGTTTTTTTGAGGACCCACCACACTTTTTTCCACAAAAGCTGTACCACTTTACATTCCCACCAGCAATGGATAAAGGTTCCAGTTTCTCCACATCCTTGCAAACATTTGTCATTTTCTGTTTTGTTTTGTTTTAACCTTAACCACCATAGTGAGTGTGAAATGGTATTTCATTGTGGTTTTGATTTGCCCCTCTCTGGTAGTTAATGATATTGAGCATCTTTCCATGTATTTGGTGGCTATTTAATGTCCTCTCTGGTGAAATATTTATTGGGTTATTTGTCTTTTTTTCATTAAGTTGTTAAAGTTATATACATATCCATAAGTGTGTACACACATGTACATACACACACACACACACACACATATATATGTATATGCACATGTATATATGTATATATATGTGTATGTAAAGGAGCTCTCGTGATATAGCGCCTAAGGTATTTGACTGCTAACCAGAAGGCTGGTGGTTCAAACCCACCAGCCATTCCTCCGAAGGAAGACTGGGTAATCTACTTCCGTAAAGATATAGCCTTGGTAAGCCAAGGAGGGGTCACTGTGAGTTGGAATCAACTCAACGGCAGTGAGTTTGTTTCTTTTTTGGTACGTATGTATATGTGTACATATGTATGTATTTATGTGTGTGTTAGTTCTTAGATTCCTATCAGATATATGATTCCCGAAGATATTTTTCCAGTTAGTAGCTTGTCCTTTCCTTTCACTTTCTTGGTTAAGTCTTTTGATGATTAAAAGTTTTTAATATTTAGGAGATCTCATTTATTTATTTTGTCTTTTACTGTTTGTTCTTTTATTGTTATATTAGATAATCCATTGTTAAAAGTAGGCCTGAAAGCGTTGTCCCTGCATTTTCTTCCAAGAATTGTATGGTTTTAATATGCACATTTAGATCCTTAATCCATTTTGTATTTGTTTTTGCACTTGTTTGTATTTGTTTTTGTGTATGATGTGAGGCACAGATCCTGTTTTTCTGCATGTGGAAATCCAGTTTTTCCATCACCATTTATTGAAGAGACTCGTCTTTCCCCATCAAATGGACTTTGCACCCTAATCAGAAATCAGTTGACCATAGATGTATAGTTTTATTTCTGGTCTCTCAATTCTACTCCACTGGCCTGTGTATCTGTTGTTACACCAGTACCAGGCTATTTTGATTACTGTAGCTATATAGTATGTTGTAAAATCAGGCAGTGTGAGCTCCCCTACTTTGTTACTCTCTTTCAACATAGTGTTGACTATTCCAGGCCAGTTGCCATTTTCATATAAAATTGAGGTTGGATTTCCACTTCTGTGAAGAAGGCTGTTGGAATTTATATTGAGATTGCATTTAATCTATAGACCAGTTTGAGTACTTTTGATACCTTAACAATATTAAGTCTTCTAATTCATGAACATGGAACATTTTCACATTATTTCTTTTTAATCACTTGTAGCAGTGTTTTGTTTGTTTTTTTTTTTTCTTTTATAAGTCCTTCATATCTGTTTTAGTTATCTAGTGCTGCTGAAATAGATACCAAAGTGAATGGCTTTAACAAACAGAAATAGATTTTCTCAAAGTTTAGTAGGGTGGAAGTGTGAATTCAGGGCACTGGCTGTAGGGGAAGCCTTTCTCTCTCTGTTGGCTCTAGAGGAAAAGTCCTTGTCCCTGCAGCTTCTACTCTTTGCTCCATAGTGATTTTCCTGTGCCATGATGTCTCTCTCCCCTCATCTCTGCTTCCTCATTAGCTTATATAATCTCTTTTATATCTCAGAAGAGACTGATTCAAGAAGCTCCCTACACTGATCTTGCCTTTTTAACATAACAAAGACATAGGCTCCTACCAGAGGCATGTTGTTGTTGTTAGGCACTGTTGGGTTGGTTTTGACTCATAACAACCCTGTGTACAACAGAACGAAACAACTGCTCATTCCCATGCCATCCTCACAGTCATTGCCATGCTTGAGTTCATCGTTGCATCCACTGTGTCATTCCATCTTGTTAAGGATCTTCCCCTTTTTCATTGACGTTCTACTTTACCAAGCATCCTGTCCTTCTCCAGGGACTGATCCCTTCTGACAGCATGACCAAAGTAGGAGAGATGAAATCTGGCCATTTTTGCTTCTGAGGAGATTCTAGCTGTGTGTCCTCCAAGGCAAATTTGTTCGTTCTTCTGGCAGTCTGTGGCACATTCAATATTCTTTGCCAACACCACAATTCAAAAGCATTGGTTCTTCTGTGGTCTTCTTTATTCATTGCCCAGCTCTCATATGCATAGGAGGCTTTTGAAAATACTGTGGCTTGAGTCAGTGACACCTTAGTCTTCAAAGTGACATCTTTGCTCTTAACCATTTTAAAGATGTCTTTCATAGAAGATTTGTCCAATGCCATATGTCATTTGATTTCTTGACTACTGCTTCCACGGGGGTTGATTGTGGATCCAAGTAAGGTGAAATCTT